TGTCAATCCAAACTCCAAATATGGTTTTTCTAGGGCTTGCAGTATGGCTAGGTCCATAAAAAAACACTTTAAAAAATCCATGGACCCTGATATACATGGATCCTAGGACACCCTTTGATACTCCCCTGATATACATGGACCCTAGGACCCACCTTTGACACGCCCATGATATAGATGCACCGTTGGACCCCCTTTGATACACCCCTGATATAGATGGACCCTAGGTCCCCCTTTGATACACCTGTGATATAGATGGACCCTAGGACCCCCTTTGATACACCCATGATATAGATGGGCCATAGGACCCCCTTTGATACACCCCTGATATAGATGGACCCTAGGACCCCCTTTGATACACCCATGATATAGATGGACCCTAGTACCCCCTTTGATACACCCATGATATAGATGGAACCTAGGACCCCCTTTTATACATCCATGATATAGATGGACCCTATGACCCCCTTTGATACACCCCTGATATAGATGGACCCTAGGACATGCTTTGATACATCCCTGATATAGATGGGCCGGTTGATGGACCCTAGGACCCCCTTTGATACACCCATGATATAGATGGACCCTAGGACCCCCTTTGATACACCCCTGATGTAGATGGACCCTAGGACCCCCTTTGATGTGGTTGTCGTGCAACACTTTTTCCCATTCGAATTCTTATGAAATACTAGATTTTGTATTTTGCTATTCCTCTGATCCTATTGTAGACATGAGCTCAAACTTTGTTTTCTTACAATGCATTACATCAAGGTGCTTATTTTGACACAACTGCTTGAAGAAGGGTTGGGTCATATGACCTGGTAGTGCAATTGTCCATTTAAACAGCCTTTTATTAAGAACATTTTAAAAATTGCAAGTTTGTGCATGGTTTTATGTTTTGCAACTCTTGTGCAATAAATTTGCAATACTAGTGCTTGAACAATTCAAACTTTGAATGATCTTGTTTGGCTTTTTTTTAGCTCCATTTATGGGATACAGCAGGCCACGAGAAGTACAAAGCAATGACTAGTACATACTACAGAGGAGCTCATGGTGCTCTTATCGTATTTGATATCACTTGTAAAGAGTCATTCCAAAATGTCAAGGATTACTGGTTWAAAAAAATATATAAAGAAAGGTAGGCATTTAAGGACTTTTTTAAAGTATAATATTATTTCATAAAATAAATGTGCTTAATTTGACTAATTATTATGTCTTCCAAACTCATTTTCTGAATGTTTGAAAAACATTCAACCATAGCCAACAAATACTGCCATGGCCACCAAAATTCCCCATCAGGGGGTCCTGATAGGGAGAAACTCTGCCTGAGGTCTTGAATATACCAACTGAAGCTGTTCTCAAGACTGGGGGCACAGTTTCATCCAGACCGACTTTAAAACAATTATAATATTAGTTTTTTTCCATTTACTTTTCCACTTGGTTTGAAATTTGTTTTGTTTGACAATCTGTTATCTGATAAGCTTCTGCAAGTCAGGATACCATACTTTGTTCAGAGACAGAAAATACTGTCCACTTGTGCTGCCAATCAGAATGCACAATTTTAGGAACCAGACCAGGAAAAAAAGTCACAAATCAGGCAGCTAATTTTGCATCATGCATCATGTGGAAACTCTTTGCCACTCTGTTGGATGTATGACATGGTGCAGGAGCGTGTGTGCTCAAATATTCCTCCAAGGTCCCACCCCCAGAACATGGAACAGTAACTCATTCTCAAAGTGATGTGAGTCCTATATTAACCTAATTCTAAACTAAGTTGACATTGATTGAGTTTCTATCAGCTCAGCATGTACAGTACAGTGTTTATTGTTTATTCCAGTGGTGCAGAATGTCTTGTGATAGCAGTTGGCAGTAAATATGACTTGAAAGATAAAAGGAAAGTTACTGAAGATGAAATTCAGGTATGATACATGTATAATGGTACTAGGAAATCATCTTCAGAAAGTAGTATAGGGAATGGGGGTTCCAGCGCAATCTCAACACGGGGTAAGACCCGCGTCAAAAATCCACCTACGGACGACCCCCACTCCAAGTGTGGTTGAGGGCAACAGCGCACTTAAATATATTAGTCTATATATGGAGTG